GTGTGTGTGTGTGTGTGTGTGTGTGTGTGTGTGTGTGTGTATAAGAAGCACCCCATGACGATGGCAGTCAGGGACAAGGCTCATAATGTGGCTGCGCTACGTACTGCCAACAGTCACAGATAATCTAGGACTACCCACTGAGCACTGAAGCGCTGCTTAAATATTTGATTGATTAACTGTCCCGCTGCTGCCAGAGAGTAAGAGGAGAGCATCAGAGAAGCCAAGGCGAACACGGCAAAAAAACAAACAAACAAACATGCATGTGGGTGCACACCGGAAGGTTTGGAAACACATGGCACACTAACATGTACACCCCCATAAATCCCTTGAAACATGGAAAAGGGGGCTTGAACACAAACTTGTACACAGTGAAATCATGTGTGGGCTCTGCAGAAACGGTGGCGATGGCTAGACAAAACAAAACATCCCGATAGCCAACTGGTACACTCGTAGTAAATTGATTTTCTAACGTCCATCCTAATTTGATGTGTCTGCATGTTGTCTTTCTTACTCCTCTCCGATCATTTGTTGCCAGTAATTGATCTGAGATGTTGTGCAATGTGTCCTGTTACTTTACCTACCTCATCTGTGACTCACAGCTACAAAAAAACACTCCTATCTGTTCATTCCTGGCTGTGAAAACACAGGCAGCTGGCCCCCCACACTCCAACACCCTCCACAGGAAAAGACAACACCAGAGCTTCCTGTGGCTTTGAAGCAGCGGCCCCAGGTCTCCTGTTGGTCCCTAGCTTCCTTTGTCTTAACCGCAGGAAGGAAGCCCTCTCTAGCACGAGGCCACGGGCCTCTACGGAGCGAGACGGAGCATGTTTGTGTATGTGGCATGCAGCATTGCGTGAGCGTGCAAAGAGATTTTGCTCACTAAGGTCATGTGTACTTACTCACAGATTTTTATCCTACTTGACTTTCCAGTAGGTGAACTTTAGTTGTGATGAGTAAGTAGAGGTGGCGGGAGAGAGCAAGTGAAAACTGCAATAACTTCCTCTTCGTTTTCCTTTTTCCTCTCATGGCTGTACGCCCAATGCTTGATGAAGAGAAGATGAGGGGGCGAATTGCTAAATTGTGTGAGTGACAGGACTGGACACTGGGTAAGAGAAAGTGGTGTACACACACGTGTTAAAGGGAATTTTTACGAGTGTATAAACATGTAAGCTACACATATTTGTCCAAGCACAGGCACAGAGAAACACACTGAAACCAGTGGGGGCGGTGAGGAAAAGGAAGGCCAATAAA